ACGAGAAATGTTTTTCGTATTAGTTAACTGTAGAAATGCAATGACAGAATCTTCTGGGTTCCAAGAAAACTATTAGGCAGGTTCATGGTCCTCAGAAGCTATGAAGCAAAGTGGTCTACGTCCAACCTCTGATGAAGATGTCCTTAGACTGCACATTGCTAGAAGCTGGGAGAATATAATCAGAACTACCACTCTGTCTTTTAAGCTCCTGTTCTTCGCCAAGGAGGATGTTACTGGACTAAATGGACCTTCAGTGTGACCTTGATCAGTCTTATTAGGCTAAAGGTTCTGTAATAAATATGAACTTTACCGATTTTTACTGGTCCCCTGCCCCTCAGTATGCTTATGAAGAGATTTATTCCAAGTCTGATGTGAATGTAATGTGGTGATTTTTGACCAAGATGTGCCTTTATTAGACTACTTGGTAGTTGCTTGCTTTTTAAAGTTGTTGTAAAAGTCTCTTCTTCAGGATAGCTGTTGACTGACTGTCATTTCGTTACCATAGGAGTTTGGCAGGACTAGAAATTTCATGGTCTGGCTGATCTTACAGTCAGAAAAGGACAGAACTGAACTCAGAATATCCTTTGTTTCATCTCCCTGCATGCAGGCAGAACTGAGTAAAATTAACTGCCTTTGCTCTTTCCTGTAACCCAGTAAGTTTGTACACTGTGTTCTTATTTTCCAGTGACCAGTTTTCAGAGTGTATTCCACTATTTTAAAATACCACAGCTTTTTGTGAAGTTCAGTCTAAACAATTAAAATTAAGACTGACTTTTTTTTTTTCTTATTTATCATTAGCCGTGGGGAATGATTGATCATGGTTGCTGTGATCTCGAGTGAACCAGACACATAGAGCTTTTCCTCATAGGCCTCATTGTGTTTTTTAAAATCTTTTTTGTAACTTGTTATGATTTTATACATGTTACAATAAAATTTGCGGTGACATCCTGACTTTTCCAGTAGTGACCTGAAGAATGACTCTAATGAGTTTGTCTTGAGCATCTAAGGGGCTAAATTTTATTTAATTCTTTGGTTGTTTTGGACATTTGACCACTCGTAATGTTTTATTTTATTTATATTCTGCTGGATGTTTTTACTATTTCAGTTTGAAGAACTGAAGTGTACTAGGGTAATTAAGATAGTGATAGAGAGATTTAATAAAGCCAGTGTAAAAATAAGCTACGTAAAAATGCATAGGTTTTGTTAAGCTCTCTCTCCCCCAGTTGCCTTCTCTCTCTCACCCACCCACACATGCACACTTTTGATTTTTTTCCCATAATAAGGAATTATTATGTCATTTCTGGTTATAGCTTAGTTTTATGAAAACTGAGATTTAAAACTAAAACAGCTGAAAACATTTCGTCTATCATAAAGGGCCTAATTAGGCTGCAGAAATAGGTTAAAAGGCACGTACTCAAAGGAAAGGCCTTTTTATTTTCAAGTGTTTTGGCATGAATAGATTTCCTTGACAATTTTTGGTCAAGAACCAGAGTTCTTTGTCTTTCTTACTGGAAGTCCATAACCTTTGAGGTTCCCTTTCTCTCTCTGGAAGCCTTCAGAAATTCTGAGATAAATCTGTACAAGAGTAGCTGAATTTCCATAAGCAAAAATAAATCTAACTACTTTAAAAAGGAAAAAGTAGATGTAAGTTACAGAGGGAAGTGATATTGTGAAACAAATGACCATTGATTCTATGAGTGCTGATACCAAAAGGAATGGCAGAAGGCTAGTGTGAATCATAGCGGAGAACAGCTTTTATGTTCTGGGTGTACTTGCAGATAAACCAGCATTCAGAAATGATTGAATTTATTCATTCTACTCCTTTTGTCAGCAATCAGACAAGATTTGCAAGAACATTTATACCCAGGAAGAAAACCAATACTGTGAAATTCTTGAAACAATGAAAGGATTTTTGAATCATACATCAGAGCCTTCCCAGAAGAGGGAACTTTAGCCTACATGGTCTCTTGAAATTACTCTTTAGCTTTACCTGTGTAGTGAACATGTGAACGTTTTCTATTTTCTATTATGTTGATGAAGTTAAGATTTAAAATGAACCCATGTCATCAGGTCAGTCTAAATGGTACCAGAGTATTTTGATTTGCTAATTTAAAAAGTGCAGGATTAGTTCCCTCTTTATGCCTTGCCAGACTTTGGTTCTCTTGGGTGGGATGCCATATAATGATTTTTAATGTTTACGGGGATTCTTCTGTACATGACAAAATAAAGCCTGAGGCAAGGTAAATAGAGAGAAGAAAGAAGGATAGATAAGATGGAGAACAGAACAGGAAGAAAACTCACACACATCCTTTTAGTTATTAATATGAATGCTCTCCTGCACGTGTCATTGAGGCTGTGGATGTGCTACAGAAAAGACTCATAAAGGAATATGGAACCTGGAAGGGAAGTGAATATGCCCAGCTATGAAACTATTTGTTTTTTGCATTACTGTTTTTATCTAGAAAGGTGCTTCGGTAATGTCTTGCAGCAGTCACAGAAAGTTAAGTTGCTGTTTCTCATAGCCGTCAAATGTCCTCGTTTCCCTTTCATGGGCGCAGCTTCATCTGTGGTAGCAGTACTGGCAATACTGATCGAGGCTGCTCAGCCAGAGTATCATCTAGTTACCTGTGAGCAGAATTGGGAGAGAGAGTTGGAGCAATCAGATGACATTTGTACTTCCCTGGTGCAAATTCTTTCTTTTTCATAGAAACATTCTGATTAATTTCACTCGCTGAACTGGATGATATGTATTCTTGCAGCCGTTATGTGCAAACTTTTAATTCCTTTTCAAAATTCCATTTTATTCCTATATGGGTATTTTAACATCTTTAATTTTAGTTACATTTGGTGCTTATTTCACATAATGGTAGAACACGGAAATTGCAAAACACCAGTAAGAATAGTGGGAGGCTGCCTGTGAACACAAAGGTGTTCCAGTCTGCAGATATCCGTAGGCTCTTTTGAAATCTCTAGGACAAAATACAGGCTGTCTGTGTGAGGAAAAGCTATCATGCTTACTGCTGTTTCCAAAGAGACAAAAGGGGTGACTAATAACAAAATACAACAATTTATTGTTTGATAAATTATTCTGTGTATTTTATGGGGGGAGAGATTCAGCATGTCAAGTTTTCTGGCAGCATAATTCTGTTGAAGTTGGTTGAACTGTGTCAGCAAAATTTTGGTTTTATAATCTGCAGCAAGTAAATGTTCTTTTATGACAAAGTTCGAATCAGTAGCAATTAGTATTCCCCAGGCCTGATTTTCTACCTGATAAGTGAAGAAAAATTTAAAGAAAAGGTGAGTTTGGGAATTCTGCTGGTACAAGATCATCTGCTTGCGTATGGCTTCATTGAAAAATCTTGCCTTCTGGTTCTCCTCTCTTTTGAGCGTGTTCTGATAGTAGACATTGCACAGAGAGTGCAGTGTGCTTCAGCTATATGCTTCATTTTTTTTTTCATTTTACCCTGTGTTTGACTTAAGTCTCCATATTAATTTTAAAGTTCATGTATAAAATAATAAACTTCAAGTGAGATAAGGCGTGGATGTGATTGCACCATTTTTTCATTCAGTAGTCCAAATATTTAAAAAATTGGTTTGATTGTCTCTCCTTATGTTGTGGATAAGGACTTTCTGGGTGTGTGATTCTGCTCTCCATGAGGTTGGTGTTGCTGTGTCTGTTACTGCCTCTTTCTTACCACCTTTGCCTTACAGATTCCACAACTTGTCACTTCCTGTCTGTTTACTCCAGGGCTTTTTTTGGAGTTCATCTGAAGCTGATCCTGTGGTCTTTTAGTTTGTTAATTTTTCCTCTCCCTCTGCTGCATTTAGGGTAGATTTGCTTGTTTGTTTATAGTCACTCTGCAAGGCACCGTAGGAAGGTAATTCTCTATGAGATGTACTATAGATTTTGTTATCGATCCCATTGTGCAGTAACAGTAGGATGTCAAATTGAATTTTAAGCTCTTTACTGTTGCTTCACTGGTGATGGCTGCTAAGTGATGTACCCCCACTGATATGTCATACCCTGGGTCTTGTTTTGAGATTCTTAGACTTTGGACATTCCTTAAAGTTTAACTAATTCCTGATGATGAAGCAGTTTGGAAATTTATTTCATTTATTTCTAAGTAGATTGTTTCAGATATTGTCTTTGACCTGTTACTTTAACATTATACATTTTCTTTGTGGTTGGATGCAAGTACAGCCCTAACAGTAGTGTCTGTTTTGTGGCAGAGCGAGGTGTGCTCTCTGTACGTGAGGCTTGTCAGGGAAAGCACCAGGCATGAATAAGGGTCTGTGCTGCAGGCATCTGGCCGTAGCAGAATCTCCAGCTAGACCACCCTGAACTCAGATGTAGAAGGAAGGAAAATCCTGTTGTCTGTGGTGCTCCAAATAGGTGCCATTTCGAATGTACTATGTGTGGATCAGTGTCCTTTCATGCTGAACCTGTTTCCTAACTGTAGAGACTTGTAGATCTTCACATCTTTCTTGCAATCAATGATTACCGTTCAAGTGTTTTCAATTTTAGTTTTGAGTACACTGTGGAGAAACTTGAAGTCAGCTTTTGCGTTTGTATCCTTAAAATTTGTACTTCTGCTTTATACTCTGACACTTTGTTACCAGCATGTTGTTTCCTTCTGTTTGGAAGTAATTATTATTTATAGGTGCAAACAACTCTGATGTAACTGTACATGGCATATTTCTTCAAGGTGGTCAAACAAATTAGGCTGTTAAAACATAAATTACTTTCAATTTATATGTAGAAATAAATTTGAAAGAAGATAAAAGATAAGCATCTAAAATAGCCTGTTTAAAGGGTCTATGTATTTTGTCTCATTCCTTAGTTTTCTTCATTTGATCTGTGTATTTAGTGTTTGAAACTGTGTATTTAGTACTTGAAACTTCATTGCTGTGTATTTAGTACTTGAAACTTCATTGCTAATAAAATCTCTCATTAAGTACTTTTTTTCTAAATATTTTCACTTTCCCTTTTCTCTCTGTAGGTGGAAGAAATTGTCGATATAGGAGCATTTGCCCCGGAAGACATCCATGTTCCCAAAATCTATGTTGATCGTCTGATACAAGGAGAAAAGTTTGAGAAGAGAATTGAAGTAAGTAGCTGAGCTTCTTGGTCACAACATATTTCAGCTTGGGTTGTATTTTAGAATTTAGAGGGTTTTTACTCTAGCCACTAAGTCTTTGCTCTGAGAAAATAGTGTGAGAAAGACTTGCCAAGTTTTGCTAAGTACTGGATCTTAGGTAGGTACTTAGGTAGTTAGTTAGGTGGAGACCTGAGAATTGAGCCTTTTTTCTTACACCTCAGGGTCTCTGGTTCAGTCCCTGAATAATTTGGAGCAACTGCCTGTGGTTCTGGATGGCTTTAATGCAGTTGAAAATTTGATGGAAAATGCTACTTCATTCTTCCTTCTTTCAGATTACATTCTGTAGACACAACAAGGGGAATACCTAGACTAAAAGCTGACTTTGATGGTTAGATACTTTCTTTTCTACTGGAGAGCTTTTGACATGGCACGTAGGGCCACTCTCAGCCTGTTTTGTGCGGTGTATTGAATTACATTACATTGCCAAGGTCCTAGAACTTTCTTTCCTTTTCTTTAATCAGGAACTTTTTTAGCCAGTGGCATTTCTGGTCTGAGTAAAAGATGTCAATAATTATTAAAAATTGCAGCAATAGTATTCCATCACTGAAAACATCCAAGAAAATAATGATTATGTAATTGTTGTTCTTTGTTTTTGGCTTTGCCTCACTCAAGCTATATCCCTATATTAATTTTGGTGATGTGGCAATGCTCTTAAAGTGCAATTGAAAATTCTGTATTTCTCCTGTGTCTCCATACTCTGGAGGTGGGAATTATTCAAAATATAATCAGAAGAGCTGGTGGAGGGTGAGATGTATGATACAAGGAAAAAAACATCTTGGGAAAAAAAAGTGCAGAAACAAATTGTAATAATTAAAATGTTATTATTAAAATCAAGTTATAAAGTCCTAGAAAGTCATACAAGTCGTTTTGTCTGAGTAAACTCTTTTATGAATGTTAAGGTTAGAAGTTTTCTTTTTTCCTTCCATCTGTTCATTCTGCAAAAGCATAGTGCATTTTGTTGAGTATTTGACTGGAAACAGAGGTATCAAACCTTTTTTTTTCTTTCTCTGGGCATGTTATGTTAATGGCCTGTTTGCTTCTTCTAAATGAGTGCAATATCTCACAGAAAAGCTTTTACCTTTCATGAGAGAAATTTATCGCAGTTTGGCAGTGGATGAAGAGGTGACTCTCTGTCCAGGGAAGACCTTTTTACAAACACCGGATTTTTTTTGGCTTGGCTGCATAAGGGGATACACTTACCTCGTCAACTGCCCTGTTCCCTATATAGAAAAAAAGGAAGTGAGAGGAAGGAAAAAACCAAAAAAGCTACAATAAACTGGACAGCAAAATTGTAACAGATATCAATTTTGTAATCCTGGCAGTGGCACCTTTCATTAATAGAAGTATAAGAAGGAAATGGCAGATTTATTTACTCTTCCATAAAAGATTATCTATGAAGGAAGTAGCTGTTCATACGAAAGCACTGAGGATGATAAGTGGTAAAAGGAAAGATGAGGAATAAAGAGAATAAAGAGAAGCTAGTCTTGTCATAATTCTTACTGGATCTAAATAGCAGTTGCTGTCTAATTTGACTCAGATGTGTTCTCTCTAGTGCAAGTCGCTTTCTATCCAACCTTCTCTTTGCTGCAGAGAAACCCTCTGTGATTGTTCTTACTTTTTCCATAACTTGCAAGTGAAGCAAATCTAGGGAAAACAGCCAAAGCATAAAAAGAACGTTGTTGGGAAATTCAAGAGGATTGATACTGACTGTTCCTGACTGCCTAAGAGGAAAGTGACTCCCAACACGGGGAAAAAAGGCAGTGCAAAATGTCTTTTGTGGTGATGAAAAGGAACAGAGGATGATTTTGCCTGATGTGTTCATTATAACCTGAAGTAGGAAAGGATGTGAAGACATACAGGGGTGCAGGACACAATGTTGCCTAGGGCAATTTTATATGTATGAGAGACATGTGCAAAGAACATAATCTATATGAACAATAATCTACAAAAAAGGTCTTAAAACTTCTTGAATGTCGTGGCATTTTCACCTACATGTGATTGAGAAAGCATCAACTTAAGGCCAGGAAGTGTTGTCAAGAAACAGTTTCAGGCAGATTTATGCAAGATTATACAGATGAAAACTTAGTTGCTTAGCTCACAGTATCTTTAGATGACTGGCATTTGTCTGTCTGATATACATAAATCTAGAATAACACCATTAAATTGAATGAAAGCAGAAAGAGAGCAGTATTTGTATTTTAGGCTGACATTTTACAAATTTATTTAAGTATCTCTGGGGAATGATTCTTGGACTTCTTAGTATTTGCACTAATGCTTCATGCCTTCTTAATCAGTTGTCTATGTATCATGTACTCTCTCAGCCTTGGTAGTACAGACAAAGAAATAACATTTTTCTCTAAGGCTATCATTAGGGATATTTGATGACTCCATTGGCTTAGATAATCTTGAACTGATAGAATAAAAAGTTGTTTTTTGTAGACGACAGATAAATAACGTTATTCTTAGACCAAGTATCTCAGTGCAATCACAAATCAGCCTTTTGTGTCTTGAGAAGCAAGAATCTGGATTCTAATCTTATGATTACTTCTTTTGCAGCGTTTATCAATCCGAAAGCCTGAAGACTCAAAAGCCAAACAAAAACAAGGAGACAATGTGAGGGAGAGGATCATCAGACGGGCTGCTTTAGAGTTTGAGGATGGCATGTATGGTATCCTTCAGCTGTGCTATAGGTTAAAGTGATGACTCACTAGAATAACAACCACAGCTGTTAATTACCATGCTCATTGTCTTTCCCAGAGCCTAGGATTCTCTCATTTTATTAACACTCTATTGAAATAGATGGGACGTTAAGACCTGCAGTTTTTATCCAGGAATATCTGGAGTGTTTGTTAGCAGTTGAATGTTTTGCAAGAATTTCTTGAAAAAGCTACGTATGTTGGAAATTAAGCCAGGTTTTTGTCATGTAAAGCAATTGACAAAATGCAATTAGAGAGTCCAAATGGCAAAATAATTCATCACAAGTATGAGGCATATAACTAAAATTGAAAGTGTTTGTGAAGAGAACGGTTCTAATCCAATTGTAGTACAATGATAACTTTTTTTTTAAATTTTCTAGTTTGCAGTAAGTGTGTTCCTGTTTGTGCCTTAACAAATTCTCTTCAGCTAATCTGGGTATTGGAATCCCACTGTTGGCCAGTAACTTCATCAGTCCAGACATCACTGTTCACTTACAGAGTGAAAATGGAGTCCTGGGTTTGGTAAGGATATACCTTGGTCACTTATTGCAGTATACTTACCTTGCAGTGGCTGGGTTTTATTCCCTGCCCACCCCCAATTTGATTGTATTTTTACTAAAAAACATACTAAAATATACGCCATTGTTGCATCATCATAAAATTCTCATTGTAGTGCAGAGAAGTTTTTAAGGAAATGCTCATTTCAGAATTATAGAACTACTTTGCTAAGTATGTTCTTAATTACCTGTTTTGCTGTAAGGAGTCAGAACCTTCAATAAGAATTCAGAGCCTTTTCAAGACCAAGCCTTCTAACCCTTATCAAACATAATTTTGAATAAACCTTAAAGTGAATATTATTTTCACTGTTGTATGCCTTTATGAAGTTGAACCTACATACCTTTTTCTTAAAAATGTCTGTTGCTTTGGTTAAGAAAACCAAACCAAACCAAATCCCCGCTTTGTAGTTATTTAGTCATTCTAACAGCCTCTAGCAATATGTCCATCAGTCTTTTTGTATTAGTTGATGTAAACAGTGGCTTGGATCATCAAGGATGTTGTTCTGTTAAAGATAACAAAAATGCGTGTCTGTGATCATTTATTTTCACTAATAAGCATTAGAAACAGTAAAGCAGTTATTAATTGTGTCTCAAAGATATTTTAATGTAAAGCTGACATATGTCTGTGTTGTTGTCAGGGTCCTTATCCTCTTGAAAATGAAGTAGATCCAGACCTGATTAATGCAGGTAAAATCTTTTAAATAAAATTAATTTATGGAAAATGATTACTCATTGCTAAATGTAAAAAAAATCTCTTTTTATTCAGTATTTGAACCCAGACTCCTGATTTATTTACATATAAATATTAATGTATTTGTCTTATTTTAAGCGAAGGTTGGTTTTGATCAATGGAGATGTTTAATATTCTAGTTAGAGAGCTTATACTTCAATGCATTTTAGTAGCTACTGAAGGAAACACAGGCAGTAAAGGGTCAAATCTGCCTTTTCAGAAGTGAGGTTGTTTTATGAAGCCTATATGCGAATATTGGATTTGTTTTCCTGCTGCTTTTTACCTTGTGTCTTCTAAAAAATGTTTTCCATTATATATGTTTGGGACATGTTTTAAAACATCTGTGTATAATGACCTAGTTTATTCCTGGCTAGTGAGTTGCCAGGAATGCAACTGATTTGCATTTGGAGAGGGAGCGGTAGTCAGGGCAGGGGAAAAAGCTCCCGAAACCCAAACGGGAACTGGCACACTGGAAGGCTCTGCTGCCGGCAGCTGCTTTTGCCACCTTGGTGGGGGAATGCCAGTCCTCACGTACTGATTTTGGTCAGCCATTTTGGGGAATTTCACCTCAGAAGCAGCTATGCAATGTAAAAACTTAAGCTTGATAAGGTTTAGTGCATCTGTATGATTTCTGTATTCTTCATGGAAAGTTGTGCCTGTGTCTGTTCTCTGTTTCCATCTAAAATAACACCTATATATTGCATTGTGATAAACAGAAGCAGACCGTGGCACTTTATAAATTCTCACTGATGTTAATAATATAGGTTATAGAGCCATAGCTGACACCTTAGAGTTATTTTTTCGTATGGAAAACCTATGCATTTTATATTTTTTATTTATGTATGCATATACATACATACACGCATATTTATGGGTGTGTACGTATGTATCAATATAGACAGTACCTTTCTCAGTGGCTGTTAGCAAGTACAATTAAACACTGAAAAGTCAAAGGAGATAAAGCACTGACATCAAACAAGCTTTTAATTTAATATCAGGGTGCAGTCCAGCAATTGTTTACTGACTTGAAACATTTGCTACCTGGCTTAACTAACCATTATCATACTGCTATGTTTCTGACTCTGTTTCAGTGTTATGTTTTACATAAGTTATTTAAGTTTAGGCCATCTTCTGATTTGAAATAAGCAATTATTAAGGAATTGAGTCCAGCATTTCACCAGTAGCTAGGTAACTGTTGTGATACACTGTATGACGGAAAATGTCAGAGACACATGAGAGCTGTCTTAATGCTTGAACTGAAATTGAGGTGTTGGTTGGTTTGGGTTTTTTTTTAAATATTGAAGGTGTTACTGGAAGGAAAAATTATTTAGAATAAAAAACATTTACTATAAAAGGTGAAATTATATGCATGCACATTAGAACTTAAGTTCTAATATGGGTGCATTAGAAATGAACCCATTAACAGAGTGACACTGGAAAAAAATATCCAAGAACTTGATAAATACTCTGAAAAATCATTGTGGTTTTTATATGGATGTCATGATGCTCTTGAGTTGTTTATAGTTGATAAATATTTTTAAAGAGCCAGTCTTGTAGGGATGAAGCTAACATAAGAGGTCAGAATGCAACATGGAAATCAGGTTATTCTAGTGTTGGTAATTCAGTCTTAAGCATCTTCACATCTTTCTCTGAAGCTGCAGTAGACAGTACACAGGATAGGTGAACCTCAGATCTACCACCAAAATTATTATTGTTATCATTGCTGAAACATTGAGAAGCTGCTAAATCCTGCTGACATTTAGTTGAATTAAGACCATTCTAGGTGCTTTCTAGCCAAATGTATAAAACCATGTGAAGAAAAGAGAAACTAAATAGCAAAGGAATAGAATTTGGTTCTGATCGCATTCGTTGACTGGAATGGTTCAGTATCAGCCCCCAAAGTCCACACTGATAAATTTTCAAAATATGCTCCCAGTTTGGGCTTTTGCTAAATTTTTATCTGCAAATATAATTTAATTCTCTGAAATATGCATGGGTTTTTTGTTTGTCCCATTTTCTGAATGTCTCACATGAAGTTTATCCTCGCTGTTACTGAACAGTAGACTTCTGTCTTACAGCTAAAATATTTACTGACTTCCTGAGAGTATTTTCAAGAAGTGGGTATTACGGTGCTCCTGTTACATTATTCTGTGGTCCTCAGCCTGCCTTAGCTTGTCACTTTATCCCAGGGTTCTTGCTGCATGTTGCTGCTTGCAGACTGTGTTGTCTCTCCCGCTGCCCTAGGTGGGTGCCTGGTAAGGAAAGACAATTCAGGCAGTTTCAGCAGGTCTGGATGTCAGCAAGGTGAATTCTTGCAATCTGTCTGCAAGAGCACTTGTATGACCTTAATTCTATACTATTTTGTGTGTCAAAATTTAATTTCCATACAGTATCTTGGCATATACTATACATCAAGTGAGCTGAACAAATTAAAGCAGGTAACTCAGGTCTCTATTTTAACTTTCCTACTGTGTTTCCTTCCCTTTTCCCATCCTCTCAGTTAATCTCATTGTCTCTTTTTCCCTGTTTTCTGGAAATTGTTTAATGATGTCTCATTCCTCTTCCCCTTTGTTGTTGCACTAACTTTTTCTTCACAATGCCATCTGATGCTAAAGTCTTTTGGTTTATATTTTCTCTCAAGTTTCCCATGCTTGTTTTATAACTTTAACTTCAGCTGCGTTTCTCATGCCTTTCCAGAGGCACTCTGTACACATGGCTGTTGCTTAGACTGATTCAAAGTGCTGGCAGGAAAAGAAAGAGAGGGCTCTGGACGGAGTCAAAATAAGACACTTCCATGTGTGCTCTGTTGCTTGACCCAAGCACTGTGCAAAGAACAGTACAATGCACAGACACTTTCTTGTGCACCTTAGCAAAGCAAGAGTAGACTAGATCTGTCATTTATTTTTCTGTATTCTACATCGTTATCACTCTAGACTGTTCAATCTGGTCTGCTCAGTCTTCCTTGCAACCTCCCTGCCTCCTGAAGATGCTCTTTCTCTGTTTCAAAAGAAAGTTACTTTTTCTGTGGATAGAGCAGAAAGCTGAAGCTCACAGAGATATCTTAGCCTCTGGTGTCAGTGATGTCTTGCCTGGAGCTGCTGATGGTCAAACCGCAGGCAATCCTATCATTAAAAACTGTAACAAACTGCTTCACAGTTCATTATGATTGATTAGGTTTATATGTGATATAGTAAGTGTAGTAAGGTCCATAGTTGTACAGAATCCAAAGGAATTTCATAAGAAAACCTTTTTTCTTGGTTAACAGCTGTGACTTCATTTGTCAAAGGGACAAAGTACATACATACTATAGCTTATTTCTTTTACAGGTAAGGAGACAGTCACTGTTCTTCCAGGTTCTTCCTATTTCTCTAGCGATGAATCATTTGCAATGATAAGAGGGTACGTAACAACACAACCCTGATCTTTTGAAACATGAAAAGAATAAACTGAGTCAGTGACTGAACTCATGAGTAATTCTTTGAAATGTGGTTAGCATTGAACAACCTGTAAAATGATCATGGTCTTAATCAGTGATGGTTTACAGAGGATTAGGACTAGCTATCGGAAATAGAAAAACACTGTAACTAATAGATACCATAGTGCTGTTCGTGTCTACCACCACCTGGCCTTATGTAAACACATTTATAACTGTGTTTTAACAGCTACTTTTTGGTCATTTCCAAGTATCTAATCTGTGTCTTTGCTCAGCTTGCAACTATGATCCTTATTCCACCTCTCTAATGGAAATTCACCGTCTGCACCTGTTTTTTGTTTGGTTTTTTTTTGGAAGGAGGTTGGATGCAAACAAACACTAAATCCTAATGGCTCTGAAAAGATAAAGAGTGCATGTAAATATGTGAAGGAGTGCACTTAAAAGTATGAGTTCAGAGCTGATTGACTGTGCATGCAATTAACCAAAACCAGACAAAAGTAATAACAGGCTCAGTAGGCAGACAGAAAAATTTGCATCAGTGCTACATCTAGAGAGGAAAAAACCAACTACATGTGTGACAAAATGGTTGCTACCTCTGTGGTATGCCACCATTTTTATAGTGATGTAATGAGGCGGCGAACGAAAGCTTGTTAAGATTTGCGGGCTGTTACTTGAACATGGTATGCTAATTACACACTTTCTGTTGCCAGAGGCCATGTTGATTTGACAATGCTTGGAGCTATGCAGGTGTCTAAGTACGGTGACCTGGCCAACTGGATGATTCCTGTAAGTAGGTGTTTGTACTATTGTCAGTGCACTACATTTAGGATAATAAAAATGTAGCTGAGGGTCAGGCAAAGGAGAAAAGGGCTGAAGCAGAATAGGGGTTGTGAAGCTCAAACCATTAAATTAGAGGATATGTGCATCTTGAATGTTAACAGGTTTTCTTGCATACTGCTGGCACCAGGCAATCAATTATCAGGAGTCAGTGCTCTAAAATTATGCCTGTGCTAAGTGTTGTGAAAAGCTAAACATGATTTATGTAAGCCTTTTTCCTTCCTCTTGGGTCTATGTTTTTCAAATGTCATGGTTCTTTGCTGAGGACTGATGCTTTTTCCTGAGAGCGACAAATCTTGTTGAGTTGTACCTGGAGCAAGAACTGGAAGGAAGGTGTAAAATAGCATGTAGCTCGTCATAAAATTATAAAAAAAGTCTGCATTATTGTTCTTAGGATTCCTGTCAAAGGATAACAGCATTGCCATTTTGAATATATCTAGAATGAAGCAATACTATTGTATTTACCTGAGTTGTCCTACAGGTTTCAAATGTAGAAATACAATCTAATCCAAGTGTTATTTAAGCAGCTAATGACATTAAGCCATTCTTTGAACACATACGTATTTTTAACATGGTTTACAAGTTTGGTATTTTCGATGGCTTTCAGTATGGTACTTTCTGATACAATTTGTATCAAAGATGTCTAGAAACAAATTTTCTTTTTAGCCTGGTTTAAGGTAATGGGGCATATTTCTATCTGTCTGAGCACTGCCAAAGGCCTCAGGAAAGTCTTTGAAAACTGAAAGCTGGGTAGAGGAGGAAAAAAACCCCAGATGAATGTCCTGTCTCTTGGAGAAGTGTTAGTTGAGTCCAGCAGTCTGTGTGAATTCTCCAGCAGGCCTGTGAGCGCACAAGTTATGGAGTGGTGGCTGGAGCATAGCTGCGTTTAGCAAGAGGGGACAAAGACAGGGTCTGCGCCTGCAGACATGAGAGAAAGGGTTATCTGAGGGGCTTTTCCAGGTTTCTGTGTGAGCGATTGTAGGGGATGTGAAGGGTTATGGCTAGGTTGGAATAGGGCACGTAGGAGATAAATCCATAAGAAAACAGTCTTCCTTAGATGTTCTCACAGCACAACCTGGTTTTATGGTCATACAACTGAGAACAGATGGACTAGTGCTGGCTAGATCTTTCCAGACCCCACTGCTAGCTTTTTCAAGACTCTTTTCTACTTCCAGTATCACCCAGTTAATCTTGTGAAAAATGGGGTCTGAAATTTAATGCTGCTGTTAGTGCATCACTCTGGGATCCTGTGTGTGCTCTTCTGTTGCTGTTTTATGTCTTTTGATAGAACTCAGTGTTTTAAACATAATCTGATGGTCAGATATACTGTAGGAGTGCCAGTATGACGTGCATTAAGGTAATACTGGTTAGCTTTGCATTGTCCAATTCGGATTTCTTTTTTTTCTTGAGTTACAAGAACTTGTTACTAGAATCCAAAATAATAAACCCAGCCTCTATGGAGGAACCCACACACACTTTGAAATATAAGGGATAAATCAAATTACATTTTTAACCTGAGGTTTGCTGTTTGAGCCAAGGCAAAAGTATGATCGTCTGAGTTTTTAAAGACTTGAAATCTCAGGGAACTAAAATTGGAGTCACGTGATTTATCCATGGCTCTGTAACTCAAAGGTGTGATAGGTCACCCAAACTCTAATTATATATTTTGAATGGCTAACTGTAAAAAACTTACATTTAGTACTTTTTTTTAGATGATTGACATAAATAAATGTAAGTAATCTACACTGTCAGTCCAGTACTGCAGGTATCTGTCACTGAGAAGCTGAGTGGGATATTTTTTCCTTCATGTCAGTCTAAGAACTACTCTTTCCTTTTACTAGATGAACTAGCTCTAGGTTTGTGAAAGCACTTCCTTCACATTAACTTGTGGTAGCTGTGATGTCTTATATAAGTAGAAATTACTTTCTTACATAGTGGCTTTTAAAAATTATTGAAGACCAACTAGAAAAAGTATTTAAAGGTAAGTTGTTATAGTATAAACTTTTTTTTCTACATAGTATAGAGATTTTTTTATAGGTGCTGTTCAAGATGATTTTAATCTATACATCTTTTTCTTTCAATTGTCAGATAAATTCTAGGTTTTATTTAGCTGGGTTGCCTTAGATGACATTCTCCTTATGCTTTTGCAAAATGAAAGTCACTATATAAATGTGTCCCTAGACTATCCTTCATATTCATATCCTTCATACTTAACTCCTGAGATTTTCTTCTTTGACAGTCCTTTAGCCTGCAAAAGCAGTGCTGAGTGTTCCTGCACCTGTTTACTCAAGCCTTCTGTTTACTCAAGCTGTAATAGGACTTGTTTTCTCAAGGGCTATTAGAAAGCAGAGGGGGGTGGGTTGAATTTTAGGTAGGAAGAATTGCTTGGTTCGATCTTTGTTGCTTTGGTAAATTGAAGCAGCATGAGAAGTAGTCTTCGAAATAACCAAATGAACAAGTAATAAATAAAGATTCCTGCTTTAAAGTATTCCTAGTAAACCCGGAAAAATGCACCTCTAGTAATAGGTCACGAAGGTGAAATGTTTGAAAAAAAGCGTTACTGAATCATCAGTGGATAGATTTTAATGCTAAAAGTCCCAGTAATTTCAACTGACCGTATTGGTATCTTAGGATGTAAAATTTCATGCAGTTGCATCTATGCTGAATCTGAAAGCTATTCACTAGAGTGTTCGTTCTTGAAAAGTATTGTCAAGAGCTGGAGCAATTCACCACTTGTTTTCTTGCTTGGTTTCATTTTGCTTGGGGTGGGGTTTTTTTGTTTTTGCCTTTTTTTTTTTTTTTTTTTAAAAAAAAAGCCCATTGTGCTGTATTTCCAGCTTTATTTTTATTTTGACCTCCATTCCCATTGGCTTTTCCCAAGACTTTTCAAAGCTTTGGAAAGCAGAGTTTGGGGCTGTTATTCATTGTAGTATTTGTAAACAGAGTTGCAGGACTTTTTCTTTTCAAATTAAAACTTGCAGTTAAAATCAACATGTATTGCCATTTTCTCACGCCAGCTTTTGTTATTTGTCATAGTTCTGTCTTTTCTATGTTTGACAAAACTAGTCATGCTTAACAAGCATTTTCTAAACTTGATCAACGACATGTATTTGTATTTCGTACAACAAAATATGTTTTGATGTTGTTCAAGTATTGTATCAAAAAATAAATTTTTGCTCAGGTTATGTATAAGTTATCTTTAGAGGAATAGGTGAAAATTCAACTTTTGCTGTATTTAGATAAACTTCAAAATAAAGATATTTTCCCAATATATTTAGTTGACTGTCTCGAGCTTGTTTGGTTCCTATTAGCATCAGTTTCCAAAGATATGCCACAACTGGAGACTATCAGAATTATTTTTGTCCTATTTTTGACTTGCTAGTAACATTGTGTTGAAGCAAAACATTTAACAGTCTAAACTGCTTCTAAAAACTCAACTTCAGCTTTTGTCCTAGACTTAGATTGAACAAAAGCACAGCATTCACAGATGCTGCAGCACAAATAATACTTACAGTACCACACAATGTTTTCAGGGACCAAGTAGTACTCGCTTTTCCACTCTGTGCACTTTTTGCATTCTTTCAGAATACTTTTTGCCTTATAGGAGGTATAACTACTTTTTCTGTTTATGATGTTGAAATTCTTTCACCAACATTTTTTGTGACTTGTCTTTCAAGATCTGAACTACTAAAAGATGAAGCCAGCATTTTGAATTAATAAAGCAGATTAATTTACAAACATATTTCTCAAAGCATTGAAGCTTAGATTGTATTCTAAGTCTTTCTCAAAACTGTGCAGGCTTACATATTCCTTCTTTTAGTGCTTTATGTTCTCTAGAAGATGCTGATTTTACTTTTGAACATGAGCCAGCAGTGTGCCCAGGTGGCCAAGAAAGCCAACAGCATCCTGGCCTGTATCAGAAGTGGTGTGGCCAGCAGGAGCAGGGAGGTGATTGTGCCCCTGTACTGGGCACTGGTGAGGCCGCACCTCGAATGCTGTGTGCAGTTTTGGGCCCCTCACTGCAAGAAGGACATTGAGGTGCTGGAGAGAGCGCAGAGAAGGGCAATGAAGCTGATGAAGGGTCTGGAGAACAGGGCTTGTGAGGAGCAGCTGAGGGAACTGAGGTTGTCTAGCCTGGAGAAGAGAAGGCTGAGGGGAGACCTTGTCGCTCTCTACAGCTACCTGAAAGGAGGTTGTAGTGAGGTGGGGGTCGGTCTCTTCTCCCAAGTAACAAGTGATAGGACAAGAGCAAAAGGCCTCATGTTGCAGCAGGGGAGGTTTAGGTTGAATATTAGAAAACATTTCTTTACTGAAACAGTGGTCAAACATTGGAACAGGCTGCCCAGGGAAGTGGTGGAGTCACCATCCCTGGAGGTCTTCAAAAAACATGTAGATGTGGCACTTCGGGACATGGTTTAGTGGGCATGGTGGTATTAGGTCAAAGATTGGACTTGATGATCTCACAGGTCTCTTCCAACCTAATGAATCTATGATTCTATGATTATTTTCCTTATCTGGAATTGCTTATTTTGCTTATGAAGATGCCTTTCCATTCTGGCCAGCCCCAAATTTATGAGTAACAGATACATTTTCAAACCAGAAAAGTACAAAATACAGCTTTGGGTAGCTTTTATTTGTCTTTTTGTTAACTTTGAGGTATACCTTTTTACTGCCATACACCACATGGATCCGTGTGACTTTTTGCTATCCCCATTTGCCACTCCTGCTAACCTTTGGCAAATTCTTTTGCAATGAGTTTGTATTTACTTGTGAGTATGCCTGATGATGTCCCATTGGCCCTTCCAATCAGCAATCATTTCCCTTTGGTTACTTTGTTTTGAGATCCATTGCTCAGATGAGCCTTAATCTGCTTTACGGATGTGTTATTACTATTCTACAGTACAGATTATTAAAATCGGATTAACCAGCATGTAGGCATTCAGATCTTC